TGGAGGAGAGGCTGGAGTGCTTTCGGGTGCTGAAATATGATGTGGAATCTGATCGTACGGTGAGTGAAAACATGAATTTGCATTAGGAGGAGCCGAATTTTATGTTTGATGAATTGCTCTCTTTATTACTATCCGTTTATAAATGTTTCATTCTATGCTTTAGAAAACCAAAGATTTGGACACTCCAGACTTGCTTGAGCAGTTACCATCCCTACAGCAACTTCTATATCGTGTTATTGGTTGTCAGGTAATAATTTGATATGGTCATTATGCAGTTGATGATCTTCATCCGGTGATGTTGTCAATGTTTGAACAAGAAACGTAACATGTTATAGAGATCGAAAATGATAGGTTAATAAGATCTTGAATTGAAATATTCAATTAATTGAATTGAATCGTATAGTCCTGTCACAATCCAAAATTGAGTCCTTTCATTACGCTTATAAGCTAGGCATAAATAAGTTTCGAATAAGATCAAAATTTTGAATAAGTTCAAAATTGAGTCCTTTCATTAATCTTCTACTGAATTTCTTTGCAGCCACAAGGGGCAGCTATTCATAATTTTGTGATTCAGTTTGCACTTTCCATGGTTGCTTCCGAAAGTATTAAAGTTTACAATTCTATAAGTGACGGCACTGTCAATTTGGTTGACAAGGTAGTCTCTCTTTTTATATCAACTATAAATTTATCTATACTGTATACGCTTCCATTTGCTTGTTTTTTCTTTAATATACGGCAAACGGGTAATTAATATTTCAATTCTTATAGTTTTTTGAGATGCAACGCAATGATGCTCTTAGGGCTTTGGATATATACCGCAGGGCTGGTCAGCAGGTACCAGCATATATGTGTTCGTACATTTGGATATACTTTTTTCCATTTGGACATTGTAAATATTTAACTTCATAATTTTTAGGTTGAGAGACTCTCTGAGTTTTATGAGATATGTAAAAATCTTGACGCTGGCCGGGGAGAGAGATTTATCAAGATCGAGCAGGTTTGATAATTTTTCTTTTATGTAAAATGGTTTTCGAATATTTTCTCCCCTGAATTTCAACTTTAGTCTCACCTTGTTTATATTATTTGTTCTCAAGCCCCCTGCATCTTTTCTACTAACCATGGAGGACTATGTGAGAGAAGCACCTCGGTATTCTACAGCTCGCAAGGATTCCGTAAGTTATTAATTCACTCCCTTCTATCAAGTGTGAATTACTCTACACTGCTCTAATCGGCATATGAAAATCAAGAAGGAAAAAGTTAAACCAGTCTGTTTTTTTGTGTCGTTAGTTAAACCAGTCTGTTTTTTTGTGCAACCCCTGAAGAACCCTCTAAGTGTTTGCAGATCTAGGATTTCATTTCTCTAGAAATAAGAGCTTTACGTTTTTTTTAATCATAAAAAACATAGGCGATTGAAGATAAAAAAGTGGTCTTGCCTATGGAGTACAAGAAAGATTCGGAGGTGAAAGAGGTGGACCCACCTTCACATGAACCAATACCAGAACCTGTTAAGGTGGAAACTCCTGTGGCCGAACCACCGGATTTGTTGGTAAGAGTTGCTCAATATATACAATAGATCAAGTGAAAGATGGGATCAACAAAAATATAAAGCCTTTGCATTTAATGTCATTTTTTTCTTGGTGTTATAGTCTCTGGATGATCCGGCTCCAGCTCTTGCCGAATTAGATGAGAAAAATGCCAATGCTTTAGCTTTGGTTCCAGTTGGTAAGTTCTGTTAAGATCTATACTTTCAAACTTCACCTTCCAAAAAAAGATGTTTCCGGAAAGGTCACGCATAAAAATCAGATTGATATAAGATTTGAGCATTAAACTTTCATTAAATCCAACTTTTGTCGCTTTTTTATAGGTTCTATGAACCAAACTGACTCTACTGGCGGTCCAAATCTGGCAAACGGAGTTACAGGCTGGGAATTAGCATTCGTAGAAGCCCCCACCTCCAATGAGACTTCCACTGCCGCTAGCAAACTGGTATTGACCACTTTCTATAACTAATAAAGAAATTATGATGAGAAATCTGAAGTATCCTTGAGATAAACTCCCTCTGTCCCAAAAAAGACTCCTTCCATTTTTGGCAAATTTTGTATGGCCCAGCATCTTTCTCTCTCCTCAGCATCACTTTCAACTGCAAAATTTCACTTTTCTTAAACTTTGTGCCAAACCCAATTAGGATGTTTTTTTTTGGGGACGGAGGTAGTGCGGAGTAGTATATATTAGTATCGTTGACATGAATGAGTTGACAAAGTCATTTCAGTGTCTTATTTGACATTTCAAACTCATTTCTTGAATATGATATTTTAAAGAAGTGGACAACTAAATCCAGATAGAGGGATTAAGCATTCGAATTCACTATAGACAATTGATATAGGGTGGCGCGGTGCAAAAAGCATCCTGCTACTTGAAGGTTCACGTTTCATATGTGGACCTTACGACCACAATAGCACGACCCTTTTTTAAACATGAAAGTAGAAGATAACCCGCATTTTGTGTTTCTGCAAAAGGCTGGAGGGCTAGACAAACTTACACTGGACAGTCTGTATGATGATGCAATCAGACGGAGCAACCAAAATGCGAGCTATAATAATAGCAACCCATGGGAACAACCGGGAATGCCAGTGGGCCCACAAACGGTGCACGACTCGTTCTACGCCCCGAGCATGGTGGCGGGCCCACAGCCTTTCATGTTCCAGCAACAACCGCAGGCGGTGGTGGGCCCACAACCGCAACCGACCGCGAATCCATTTGGCAACCCATTTGGGGCAAGTGCCAATCCCTATAGTCCTGCTGCGGTTCAGCCCTACAGCAATCCTTACGCCGGCCTCATTTGATCAGTTTCCTGCCTCGATCTTTTTTACTGGCCAAATGATAATGGAAGGAGGAGGAGCTTGGACAGTGAGTGTGCCATTGCAGCAGGTAGGATGAAATTATTTGTTCAATAATTCTTTTGTTACAGTGAGATTCTTTACATCAATGGAAACACAGAATAATGCTTTGTGAGACCTCTTTTTTTATTCTCCTTTTTTTTAATGCCCTGCTTTAGCTCAAGGGGGTTATTTTTTGTCTATGCCAATTTATTTATTTATTTTTCCCTATAAATATTCCCATGTTTCATTTTTTGTAAAATGATTGTACTTGTGCTTTGGTGTATCAATGAACATGATTTGTCTATATTTAATAATAAAATATATCATATTTATGTGTAATTACAATGTCTCATAATTACAGATACTCTGTGATATACAATAGGATACAATTTTCATTAGATGTTGGCAGGGTCATTAACCAATATTGGGAGTGTACCCACTTAAAGTAATAAATTATCTTTTCTCATGTTGACTGCCCAAATATATGTTTAGAAAGAAAGATTTTACTCCATATTTGTAGCATTTTAATGCCTAACCCACCTGCCGCCTTTAGAGTGCAAAATTGTGTCCCAACGAATAAGAGGTCTTCGCTCCTATTTTGCACTTGACATAAGGTGCAGGGTGCGTTGGAGAGGGTAAGAATCATGAAATTTTTGATTGGTGTACCATAGGTATCCGATGTCAGAATATGACACCAAAATTTAATGTCAAAAACTACAATGTAATGTTTATTTTTAAAATAATAACATTTGTTTGCATTTAAAAATATGTTAAGCTATCTAAACCCCGTTTCAAACATGTTAAGGACGTACAACATTGTTCTTGCTTGTGTTCGTCATGTTTCAGAAAATTACTCCAGAGTACCTTCGATTTTTTTGTATGACCCTCAGAAATTAGAACCTACATTATCTGAAATATACTCCCGTGTATCTTTAATTTTTTTGGTAAGAACTCTCGGGTTCCACATTATTTGAAATATACTATAGGGTCTTTAAAATTAGTGATTATGTACTATTTTGGTACATTACATCTATTTGACAATTAGTATTAAAGGTTTTGGTACTTTAAAAAATATTAAATTTTAGCTTTCAAAACATTATTATTTTTAATTTTAAATAAATTCTTCAGTTTTTCAAAGTTAAAAAGCTTTCAATCGTAACGTCTAAATGCACGGAATGTAACCTCAAAGTATAATAACACAAATTTTAAGGACCCCGAGGTATATTTTGGACAATGTGGGACTTGAGAATTCTTATCAAAAAGGTATCTCGGACTATATTTCATATAATGTGAGACTTAAGAGTCATTACCAGAAAATTGAGGGTACTCTAGAGTAACCGTTAAGCTTTGATTCCAAGTTCAATAATATTGTAATGTGTTCTTGTTATTTTTGCTTTGATTTTGACAACGGAATTTGATTAGCGCTCTTTTTGGGAGTTTTGTGATGAACCTAGCAGCTTCACTATGAACATTTTATAAAATCTTTTGGTAATATATATAGTCATTATTGATAATGTATATGCATTTTAACTCTTATTTCAAGAATTAAATATGAAATTATTTTTTTAGTATTTTTTCAGTATCTTTCTCTTCTACTATAGTCTTTTTCCTAATTTGTTATTGGAGTGTGGGCCGTATGATTTTTTTACAATGGCTTGATTTTTTAGTTTTTTAAAATAAGGGCATAATAAAAAGGTCAAAAGTCAAAATATCATTTTACACTTCCTTAAAATGAGTCTCTATCAAATTCAGAAGAATGTTTTTAGGAGAGAGAAAATATTAAATGTGATAAATGATTAAAATTTGTTGAGATTTATTTAGAACAAAGCTTTTAAGCATGATGCCCATGATGCGTTTATTATTTTAGAGCCTTTTTCTTTAAAGTTTAAATTCTTAATTTCCTGTTTCTTTCAGTTTTTTGCCATTTTTTCCAACATTCAACTTTTTTTCTAGTCCTATAGAACAAGCTCTGTTTTATTTTGCTCACTTTTTTTGAAGGAAGTATTTTTGCTCACTATAAAGGAATTGTCAGTAAAGAAAATGAAAGAAAAATAAAGAAAAGGAGAGAAAAGCAAGAGTCCAAATGAACTGGAACTTCGTCTACTTTGACGTCTTTCTTAAGTTATGGCCTTGGGAAAGAAAGAAGCAGAAGTACCAGTAGTGCTCCCTAATTAAAAAGAAAGAAAAGAATAAATAAAAAGGAATGTCATCTTGGTTCTCGCTTCCCACCCCTTTTAAATCCCCAGACGACGACGATGAGAACCCATCCGCACCGGATCCGAGCCTGCCCGCCCTCTTCCGCGGCGTCGCTTCCTTCCTTGCACCGCCTCCGGCGGGCTCTCCCTCCGCCGATGGCGGCGACGACCTTTCCGCGTCAGAGAGCTCGCAAGCAATTGCCGGAATCAGGAGTGATTTGGCCGAGATTGGAGACAGCTTCAAATCGAGCCTCTCCTTGTTGTCCTCCAGCAAGGCTGTTTCTGAGATATCGAAGCTTGCCTCCAATTTCTTGAATTTCAAGGACGATGAAGTGAAAGAGGAGCTCGAGGAGGAGGAGGAGGAAGAAGAAGATGAGGAGGATATGATTGGAATTACCGATGAAGTGGTTGACTTTGTGAGAACTATTTCCGAGCGACCCCAGCTATGGACTGATTTCCCTATCAGCTTACCTGATGGTAATTTCTTTATTATTTACTTCATTTGTCTTAATAAAGAACCAAAGGTTTGGTGAGCTGAAATTAATTCATCAATGTGTGATCCTGAAGTATTTTTTCTGTATAGTATCAGAAATTGTTCTTTAAAAAAAATATTTCAATGGCTCTTGCACTAGTAGAAGTAATAGTTTTGAACTTTCCTGGATCATAGATGAGTTCTTATGTTGCTTATTGCTTGTGGTGTATGATTTTGGGAAATAACTTTGTCTGGAAGGGACATGTAGGAATGCTAAATGCTATCGAATTATGCATTGGTGTTCAATCATCATCACTTCTACTTAAAATTGACATTTTTGTTAATTGTTTAGTCTTGTTGGTTTAAGGTGTCCTCTCAAGGGAACATACATTAGCTGTGTTAATCAAAAGAGATCGTTTTTGCATACAGAGAGTTCTTCTGTTGACTTTATTTTGCTCTCTTGTGCCTGAAATATAAATGCAGACAACATTATTGAGAAGAAAACTACACATATCCATTGTTAAAATTGGATGCCATTAATTTAACAAAGAGAGTGGAAAAAACCAGGTTGATTACATATAGCTTCAAGATGTCTAGACTTATTTGATGGCATCTTTTGCATTTTCTTTATTTCACTTTTTGCATCTTGCTTTAGCAGCCCATCGATAGAAAATTTGATGCTAGCTACTGAGTACTTATTAGAAAAATATTTCTCATGGGGTGTGGATGTGATAACAAAATGTCCATGCTTATTACCTTTGGTAGTGTATGTTTGAAATCATCATTCTATGAACCTGAAAAGTTGGATTAATATATATAGTTATACACCTTCCGTCTCAAAAAAGAGTTCCATTTTCAATATTGTTTTACTTTTTGGCATTACTCATTAGAAATGGAAGACTTTTTTTGGGATGAAGGTAGTATAAAATATTAATATATCAAACATCATTTTCCCTATTCACCGATAATTCTCAGTGAATTTTAACATGTTGCATATGTTGAAAGTGGATTTGGAAATATATTGTTGCATTCTCTATTTTAGTTCCCAAATTACTTAAATTACCTGCCTTGGTACTCTGGACTGAATGTTATATGTGAATTTGCTGCAGACTTTCATATCTCTGATAACCAAAAAGAGCATGTTGAAACTATTGAGCAATTGGTGCCAAGTCTTGGAGCCTTAAAGCAAAATCTCTCCAACCATTTAAAAGATGAGCAGTTTTGGATGATTTATTTTATACTATTGCTTCCTCGGTTGGACGACAATGATTTGGAGATCCTTTCAAGTCCTGAGGTTAGTGTGTGTGTCTCTCTCTCTCATAATACAAAAGCACATGCATGCTTTTCTTTTTTCTTCTTGTACCTCTTTTTTGTGTAACTTGTTCTGACTATCATATCCAGTACACACACACACACACAACACACAACACACAACTACAACAAAAACAAAACCCAGTAGAATTCCACTTAAGTAGGGTCTGGGGAGGGTGTGTGTACGCACACCTTACCCCTACTTAAAAGCAGAGAGGCTGTTTCACGTGTCGCACACACACACACACTCATATGTAGTCACATGGACTTTTGACATAGTACTTATAATTAATTACCTGAAAAAATCAGTGTATCTTACCATAGGATATGAACATGCTATATGAGTATCAGAGTATCCTATATAATACACTAGTATTTTTACATGTTCTATGCCAGAATTCATTATCTTTTCGTAGTTGGGAAATGATAGTTGAAACTCCGTTATAATAATGCACCTTTGGTCTAGTGGCATGCAGACAGTCTCTGGCTTTCTGTTAATCCCGTTATTACTGGTTATAGAACTATCTCTATTTTATGTTTTGAGCCAGAGATTTGCGGGGCCATGCTAGCTACCAGTTGTTATGTATATTTATTGAATGCTGCTCTAAAATTCAGAGAGTGGTAGTGTTAGCAGGTTAACCGTAGATCAGTATTTCACTTCTGTGTTAATGTTGAATGAAAATGTTTTGCCAAATACCAAAAATATGGAATATAGCGATGGCAAGCAGTCCTACAACGTCAATGACATTAAAAATTGAGCATTAAGTATGAAATATACTCACTCCATCCCAAAATGAAGTTTACTTTCACTTTACGGAGTGTAAGAAAGATGTTAAACCTTAAAAAGTGTTATTGAAATTTGTTTAGAAGATAGATAAATGTTATGAGCCACATATCCTTGATAGGAAAGTAAAGAAGTGTACACTTTATTTTGAGACATTCTAAAAAGAGAAGAGTAAACTTTACTATCGGATAAGGTTTAAGAAAGGTGTTAAAACTTAAAAAGTGTATTATTGAAATTTGTTTAGAAGATAGAGAAATGTTATGAGCCACATATCCTTGATAGGAAAGTAAAGAAGTGTAAACTTTCTTTTGGGACATTCCAAAAAGAGAAGAGTAAACTTTACTATGGGACAAGGTAGTATATTATTTCTATATTCTTACACAGATTACCTTGGTTTATTGTTTGCTGATGATATTATTTCGGTAGAAGAACTCGAGTTGGTGTTAATGAGAAGTTAAAAATGTGGAGGATGGCGCTAGAGTCTTAAGGTATCAGATTCGCAGAAGTAAAATGTAATATATGGAATGTAAGTTTAGTAACAAATAAACAGGGATCTGAGTTTTGCAGATGATCAAGAAATTCCAACCAATGATTGTTTTAGATGCTTGGGGCTTGGGCTCTGTTATACAAAAAAAAAGAATTTGATGGAGATGTTGAACATTGCGTAAAAGCGGGTTGGCTGAAATGGAGTGCAATTGGAGTTCTTTGTGGGTGTGATATATCTTTGAAACTAAATGGAAAGTTCTACACAATTGCGATTCAACTAGCATTGTTATATGGCTATATGCTAGAGAGTGTTGGGCTCGTAATGGGTTTCATCTTATGAAAATGAATGTAACTGGAATACGTATGTTCTGATGGGTGTGTGGGCATACTAGAATGGATAGATAAAAAAACACGAAGGTAGAAGTGATATATTTGAAGATAAATTAAAGGTCTATTTGGAAAGGGGGAAAACAACTTTCAGAACTCATTTTCCCCATTTTCTGGTGTTTCGGAAGTTAGAAAATACAGTCAATGGAAATTAACTTTTTGGTCAAAGGAAAATGAGGGCAAATTTTCGGATTGTGACTTCTCCTTTTCAATTCAAGAATTCAATTCTAGTCGCTCTGCTCGCTCCTGCCTCGGCTTGCTCTTTCACCATCTCTCCTCTCTTTTTTACTTTCAATGTATTCAATCAAGTCTGCTTCGCTCTGTCTCCATCGCCGTTCTTCACTTCCCCAAAAGCGGTATTCTCTTTCTCTTCGTACCTCTCCATTGCCGTTTTTTTAGATTCAAGCTTCATTTAAAGAGCATTTTTAATTGCTTTGAATTGTGCCTCCTCTATCATGAACCATCTATTGCTGTTTTTCGGTTTTTCCTTTCTTCACTCGATGGTGCAATTTTCCAGAAACCAGGGCTTTGAATTTCTGCTGGTTCTTGCTACTCCATATACTTTTCTAGAAATTGAGATTTTCCATAAACTGGAATTTTTTCCTAAGAAACTGTCTAAAATTATTTATTTTCCAGAAAATGAACCAAACAAAAACAAACCGTTTCAGACTTTCACCCAAATACAAGAAAAGGAAAATGATTTCAAGAAAATAACTCATTTTTTGGAAGTCATTTTCTACAAGTCACTTTCCTAGTTCCCAAGCAGACCCTAAGAGAAAATCAACCGTAGTGGTTTGGACTTTGGATACATGCAAAATAATCCTAGTGATGCCCCTGTTAGAAAACTTGAGGGGTGAAAAAATGAATCTTCCAAAAGAGGAAGAACCAAAAAGACTTGGAAGATGGTTGACTAGTAGCATTTTGTCTTATCTAAATTTGGGCAAGAGTGTAGTTGTGGATTGAAAGAAATGGTGATAACAGTTTTGTGAATGACCCCTTATTCCCCGTTTCGTTTAAGTAGTCGACCGTAAGTTTGTTGAGATAAGGCTTTGTTGTCGTCACTGTCGTCAATGTTATTTTAAGTCATGGGCTAGGTTCCGAATTTTTCTATCACTTGTATACTTATTCTAACAAAAATAATAAATAACTCGTACATCAAATTTCTAAGCATACTCTTGATTTCCTGTATGCGTGTAGACGTGGACACGACACCGGTCCGGTTTCGGAACCGCTGGTTCCAGGTACCGTATGGGTGGCAGTGTGGCACCGGTGGCTGGAAGTCTCGGTTCAGTTCGATTCTCGGGCAGTTCTCTGGCCCGTACACACACCCTTCCAGACCCCACTTCTGTGGGATTTTGCTGAGTTTCTTGTTGTTGATATGATTAAATCCAACTTTGCCAGGGAAGGTTTCCCTGGAGGAAAGTGATCAAAGTGCATCAGACTACACGATGATCAACATGGTTACCCCCTCGTTTGACATGAATTTCAATCAAAACATTGAAAGAAGAAACCAACCTATGAATATTTTTAAGAAACACAAATAAAGGATTGAGAAAAGAATGGCAACTATGCAAAGAAGCAATAACATTTAAAATATAATGACTCAATTATATAGCTACTTGCCTGATCTTTTACACTATATTTGGGTCAAGGAATTTAAAAAGGAAAAGAAAAGAAAATAAGAGACGAAGCAAGTTTTCTCGTTTGATCAGAGAGGAAAACAAAAAGAAAGGTAGAAAGAAAAGAAAATGGGAGAAGAAATGCACTAAGGAAAAAGATTTTCGTTCCGTTTTAGTGAGGAAAAGGAGAGAAAACATCTTTCTTTTCTTTTCCTTTTGAATTCCATGAACCAAACATAGTGTTAAGTGCTCTCCAAAAACACAATGACACTGTTGATAAACAATATATGTTGCTCATGGTATTGCAGCTACTTTCTCACCTTAGACTGCTGGACGATAGGTCCAATCTTTGAAGCCAGCGTCATTTAAATCCTTCCTATCTTATGGGCTATGCAGCCATGCAGGTATTCTGTGTTAGGATTATTAACTTCCAAATTTTCGCTTGGATTGACTAAACGCTAAAATAATGTGATCAAGTTCTCTGCCACTAGTTTCTACGTCCAGCTCCTTGAAAATGTGCGATCTGTGGACATTTGTGATCTTTAATGCGATAAATCTGTTTTCTTTCTTTTAACAGGAAAAGAAATTATTTCTAAATTTGTGTGGTCCCTGTTTCATCAATTCGACCTCTGACTCGACTTACCACCTTTGGGTTTAACACATTTCTTGATTGCGCTAATGTCCTTGGGCGAGCAAATTCTTAAACTTGGCAGATACTTATCCTTTTGCAGATTGTCAGAGTCAGGGAGATGCTTCTACAGGAGCTTCAAAGTAAGAAAAATACACAGTCTGCGCCTGCAAATGAACCTGAGACCCTGCAAAGGCCTATAGATGGTGAAAAGCAACCGCGAAATACAGACACTGCAGCCGAGCCTGGGAGCTCTAAGAACCAAACCAAAGATGCAGAGGATGTTTCGTTTAGTGATCTGGAGGATGATGATGATACTGATTCTCACAACAAGAAAGTTTCATCATCCAGTGATTCCCCTGAATGGATTCAATTAAAGGAAAATTCCAACGTTCGAGCGACTCAACAAATCACCAGTCAGTCCACTTCCCGTGGGAAAGATTCCGAAGGTGAAGAATCCGGAGACTGGCTCACTGTGGATGATACTGATTTCGACAGTTTGGAGGCCATGTAAGAAAGACACACACACTAAACTCGCGCACACGCAAGCACACACTAAACTATCCTGAAATAGCGAATGGGATCTTCTGTCCCACTCCCTGTACCAATTACAAACCATCCGTGATTGATTGATATATTGATTAATTAGTAAATTTGAGATCTTTATTTTTCTTATCAACCAATCACGGACGGTCGTTACATGGAGTGGGACATGATGTAGCATCACCCTTTACGTGTGTAAATGTTTTCTTTTATAAATGAAACATGTGGAAATGTTTTAAAGTTACACAATTTATGCTTCGTTTGGGAATAGCATTTGTCATTAGTTTTACACCAATACTCCCAGAACTGCACGAGTTTACAGAAATACTCCGAGATTTGTTAAACGACACTAATGCTCCCAAAATTTACCTATATTCATATCGTTGCTCCGAAAATTGATTTTTGTTTACTTCTATGCTCCAAATCTTGGGGCACAGATGTAAATACATATCAGTTCTCATAATACTGATGTGAATATAGAAAAATTTTGGTTGCAATGATGTCATTTATTGAATCTCGGAGTATTTATGTAAAATATTTATGTAAACCCGTGCAATTCTAGAAGTATTGGTGTGAATTTTTTCAATTATTTAATGCTTCTTTAATGGTGCAAATTTAGTCTAAAAACTCTTAAGGCTAAAATGCTAAATGCTACTGTTAGATTTTATTTTTAAAACGTTAAAGCTAATGTCAAACGAAGCATTAGCCTTAATGTCGCCATGATTTTGGGGGTTTTATCTTAATTTTGGTTTACTTGAAAAACCATTTACTGTGTACCAAACAGCCTTGATGTTATGGTATATACTTACCCTGAGAAGTTTGTGCTCTATAACATAAAGGTGTGCTGAAAAGAAATTAGAAGCAATTGTCACAAAATTGTGTGTCGTAGGTCGTCTGCCTGTGTGTGAGACCAAATGTGGGTTAAGAGGTTTGGTTAAGAGGTTTGTGGTTGTAGACCAGGAAAGATTTTCACACTAACATGTTCGAGTTCAATATGGACATTGACGTGGACATTGACGGCTTTTTTTCTCAAGAGGTATCCCAACTTTGGATGTTGTTATAGAAGGGTGTAACTCATCATTCGATTGTAACAAAAATATGCCACATCTTTAAAAGAATTACTCCCTTCGTCCCTAAATAGATTATAATTTTTTTCTCTCTTCTCTCGATAACATTTGTTTGTTCACGCGATTTCATTAAGTATTTGATAATATAAAATATTTTTGCCACCTCTTGTTTTGTAGAGCTTTTGACGTAGTTTTTTAATATGTAATTTTTGTATCTTATTGATATACCAATTTGTAAATAAAATGATTTCAAAAAGTAAAAAATTTTACTCTGTAACCCGCAATTTGTAATCAAATTGGAGACGGAGGGAGTACAACAAAATGATGCCCTTGATTGAAAATGTGATAATCCGTGAACAAATCCTGAGTTGGTATTCTTGCTTGCTTTTCTCTGTTCCTATGTGTTATCTAGGTGTCTTTTTCAGCATAGTACGAGAAATTTTTATTCTTAAAGATTTTAGGTCAGCATTTTTAATGTTCAATAAATAAAAAAGACCCTTTTTTCCTTTAAGTCGACATATTTGTATGGTTAATGTCAAAAGACAATACAAGATTAATTTAATTTAAATTGAACATGAATTAAAAATAAAGAAAGCACCCTAAATAAAAGTAAACTATAGAGAAAGTACCAAAATAAGAATTCTTTGTTTTTATTCTCTAAATAGGAGTTCGTATTGTGGTAATGTGACACTGAACATGGACATTATATTTTTTTGGTGATGTACATGGTCATGATTGACACTGTAAATGTATTTTAACTCCTATTTTGGGAATAAAAATATAGATTTTTTATTTTGGTTTATTTTTAATATTTTACTCCCACTTTAGCCCTTTTTCCTTAAAAATTTTAAAAATTATGGTTAATTCATTGCAAACACGTTTCTTTTTATTAATATTATTTTTGGAAAATATAGTTTTATTAAAAAATAAGTATAATAAAGAGGGCATGGCGGAGTCCTCATCAAGATAGTCAAACCAAAACGTCTACAGAAATAGGAAGTTCAAAATAAAAAAATAGATTCTTGCTAACGTAAAATTCTAAGAAAAAGATGCTGCTCTAAAATGTTTTCTTATGTAAGCACAAATTTTTATATATTCAACATGAAAAATGCTGCCCTAAAATTTTTAAGAACAAAAATTGCTGGTACTATGAATAGAAAATGCAGATAATGGCATTGTTTCGATGTTGGTTGTTGGCAGTTTGTGCCAGCTGTTGTGAATGGCTGTTTAGTTTAGCTGGTTTGACTGACAGAATAAATTGGCTAATCATTAAAAATGTTTGGTAAAATTAGCTGTTTGAAAATAGTTTTTCATATATATATATATATATATATATATATATATATATATATATACATATATATATATATATATATATATACATACACACACACACACACGATATTTATTTTTCATTTTTTTAGATGTAAAAATTAAATCTTTACTATATGGAGTATTAAATTTTAATTTCATTTACTCCATAATAAATAAATAATATAAATTTTTTTAATGATTTTTGCTTTTTATTTTCTCATTTCATATTTTGAAATTTTGAAATTTTAAATTTTATTTTTTTTAGTATTTAATTTTTTTAACTTTTATTTTTATTTTTTACATATATTATATAATATCTTTCAACAAAAATGATTTTAAAAAAATTATTTTTCCTAACCGCCAAGTCCAAATGCTACTCCCCTTGGCATTTCAGATTTTGCCTTTTCGGATTAAAATGCCAAGTGAAAAAACCATTAGCCAAACAATGGTTTTGGCGATTCGCTTGGTCAAAAAAGCCAAAGTCAGTCAAAGATGCCAAAAGCTATCCAAAATGCTGTTTTCCAAACATGGCCAATAATGAGTAGAGAAAAGTCAAGGGAAACGCCAACTCAACATTTGTTAGCCGGGATAATCACAATCCCGACCGAGGAACACTATTTTGTTATAGTTTAAAAAGATGTGTATGTTTTTGTTACAAATAGTAGATGAGATTCCATTTTGTTACAATGTCCAAAGCTTGGGTACCTCCTAGAAAAAAAAAGCCGGAAATTGACTATTTGTGTTCCAATATGTAAAAAAAATTATAAAAATAGATATTTCTTCCGTCCAAAAACTTTCTTTCTTGTTACTATTCAAACAATCAAATTTTAATTATTTTCTTTGCTTATTTTCGTTAGTCATTTGATAAAATAATACAATACTGTCACCTCTTTTTTGTAGAGTTCTTGATGAAGTTTTTAAATGTATATACTTTATTTCAAAATTTGATTCCTATAATCAAATACACTAAATTAAATTGAAAATACTTCGGACATACCCCGTAAACCAAAAATGAAAAAAACTTTAAGACGAAGGAAATACGAAATACTACATTTTAAAAGAGTTTACAATACCTGAAAAACATTTTTCATTGTGCAATTGAAAGATTTAGACCTGTTGTACAACTATTTTTTATTTTGGCCGAGTGTAATCAGTGGGAAAGTGATAATTAGAATTTGGCAGAATATCACTTTCTCGTTTGCACAAGTGCATACTTCTTCCATCTAAGTTAGGCTCCACTTTTTTTCCTATCTCCTAAAATATGTTTACATTTTTTAAGGCAACAATTAAGGAGAGTTGATCAAACTATTTCTTTCTCATTCGTATAAATATCAACACTACATTTGCATATTCCTTCCCATGGAATTTCACACTTCTTATTTGAATGTCTTTAAACAAAATATACATACACCTCTACTCTTTCCTTTAAAAGAGAAGAAATATCGGGCCCGTTTGAAAATAACATTTTCGATTAATGTTAGCATTTTGGATAAAATTTTAAAAGTACATATTATTTTTGAAAACGCTAAACGCTGCCTTTCGATATCCATTTCAAAACGCTAAACTCTATTGTTATTCTCAAAAGGTCATACAAATATTTTTTATCTTTTAAATAGAAATTGAACCGCATAATGTTTCCTTTTCAATACATTTTTTGGAATTTCACAAAATCAAACAATGAAGTTTTTTTATGGGATGGTGAAGTATGCTCTAAAATAGACATATATAAACAAAAGTTACTATAATTTAAGGTTGAATATTACACATTGTAATCAATTATGGGACTGATAAGACAATAGTTACGGAGTGTGTTTTCCCTCATTTTACTATCACTCCTACAAGTACAATTGTACAAAGTGGTCACGACTGACGAGTCCTTTGCAAGTGGCCCCCTCATTTAGTATGGCTTGTTGTTGGTATATATTTGTATGGGTTCATCTCAATACCTCATGCCTAATCAGCTGTGTTTGCCACTTCCAATATGCAAACAATAAACTTGTTGTCATTTATCATATCATCCCATTCATGTGGAGTCTACTCCGAACCCGTGAAGCAGAAATTCTCCCGGTGGAAAACTTTTTCCTTTGTGTTTTTTCTCAGCATACGATTCTAGTGACAACTCTGGCCATTGCAGAATTAATTTCCGAAGTGGAAAGAATCTGGAATGTGTTGAAATATTAAAATAATAATATTGCTCCTTGAATTATGGAGTACATGATAGAGTATATATAGGAGAGACTCCTAACACAACTAGGAATAGAGAATGGAAACTAACTAACATACAACATCTACCACAAATAGGATTAGGAAACTAACTAATAATGAAACACTACCATAACCAATACTACAAGAAGTACTATTAGTATTATTGTCTAACATCCCCCTCAAGCTGAACTCTGGCTGAAGCAAGAGGAAGCTTGGACACTAGCTGGAAACTGGAAACTTTGAGAAGAGAGAAGTCTGACATGCGCCGGTGGCTGCTCACGTCGTTGGAGAAGAGAGAAGTGTGACGCGCGCCGGTGGCTGCTGACGTCGTTGGAGAAGAGAGAAGTCTGACGCGCGCCGGTGGCTGCTGAGGTCGTTGGAGAAGAGAGAAGTCTGACGTGCACTGGTAGCTGCTAACGTCGTTGGAGAAGAGAGAAATTGACGTGCGCTAGTAGCTGCTGACGTCGATGAAGAAGAGAGAAGGTTGNGAAACTGGAAACTTTGAGAAGAGAGAAGTCTGACATGCGCCGGTGGCTGC